AACCTGCTAAGGATTCTAAACCTGTCTGAGGACTCAATAGAATAATTCCATTTTGCAGATGGAGAAGTAAAGATTAAGTAAATGCTAAGAGACTCATTGATTTATCCAAATTAGAATGCAAAAAAGTCTAAGCTGGAGTCCAAAGCTGTTGCTATTACATACTACACATTACCCACACAGCCAAGATGCTGCTTTAACCATTAATGATACACAGAAACAAACACATACACAGGGCAAGTACTCTTTCCCCTTTGTCAAGGCCGCCACATAATCTTTAAAAACTTAGGAAATAAAAATCTACCTTTTTAGTAAATATCTGCACTACACTCAGCACAGCCTAGGACCAAAGCTAAAGCTGATTTGGATTCGCCTGCCAAGAAGTGAATTTTTACATCACTGTCAATAGGCAAAGCATTCCTCAATAGCATGATGGGCTGTTTCTACCACAGCTACCAATGAGAAAAAGTTATTTCTCAATTTTACTCACAAAGGAAAAGCATGTCCTTGGGTCTTGTCCTATATTTACTTAATGCCCTACCTTATTACAAAGAATTTAAACCAGTAGTTAATAAATACGTAGAATTCGCAATATTCAGACTGGTTTTTCAATGTGTAGATTTTATCTATTCTAGCTTTGCTGCCCTGCCCATCCCTACCTCACAGGTGTGCAAACACCTATAATCCAAAAATAAGTTTATAACATTCTTTGTATGGTCAAACTCAGAAAAAGATGCACAAGGCAAAGTTAAGTTCTTCCTAGCCACATATATACTCCCTTACTATTCACAGAGCCAGGTGTATTGAGATGTTAGGTCAGTGGGAGAGCAATGAGGAAAAAGGCCAGGCTGGGGGCATGGAATGAAGGGTGGCCCTAGAATCAAAGGGAATGCTGCTGATGGAAAGGATTTCTCTTTCACCCCACCCTGAACTCCTCTAAGTCTGTAACCCTGAAATCACTTATCCAGGTCCTAACGACTCTGTCAACAGAGGTTACTGGGAGAACAGAGGCATGGAAATGGAAGTGCCTTAGCTTCACTAACTTAAGGGATCGTTTTAATGTGAACAATTCCTCTCTGAATTATCCAATAAGGACCAGGTCTGCAGAATAAGCAGGTTGTTTCCCAGATCCTTTGGGAAACAACTCACTGATTCTCAGGGTAGCAACATGGGTGGCTCTTTAAGATCATTCAGCCTGAAAGTGTTTTGGAAAAGGGCATGCTTTCTCTCTTTTTTTAAAGACTTAAATGACTTTAAAAAGTTTTAAAGAGGGGATTTTCCTACTCTGAATTGTGTTTCACGGGTGAATAATAAGCTACCTGGCATCTTTTTAAACATTCAACATTATTATCTGACCCAGAACAAGGTTTCTGAGATCTGAATCACAGTTTTCTCTTGCATATTGGTTGTCATTATCAATACACATGTAAAATCAGACCAGAGGGGCTACAACTCAGACAAACTATCAGCCTATGAAATGGAAGTTAAACCACAACCTGATTTATGAATCCCCACTTAACCATAAGAACTATTTGAGTAATGTGACAGTAGGAAAAGCCACATAGACGGAACCAGGTGTCATAACCCTGAAGACGGGGTGGAACAAGACAGGTTTTGAAGGATTTTTGCATCATCTAAGATTCTAGAAGCTGAGGAGAGTCTAAACAACCACATTCAGTGCCCAAAAGCGCACCACTTGAATAAAGGACTCCAGGGAAAGATTTTACCCTTAATATTCAGAAGCAATAATAAAACATTTTGGCCACTGTTCCTTCATGGATTCCACAATGCACTTAATGCTCATTTCAGGCTTTCTGAAATGCCTCCCCCTCCTCTCTGCCTGGAAAGTATCACTTGATGGTTTATGCATTCCTAAGGATTACTGTTAATAGGTGGTGACCCTAATTAGGTACAGACAGAAATAGCTCAGAACTTACCACATATTCAGATTCATAACTGTATTTTTAAAAATAATATATAAGAAATGCCTTCTAGGAATTCTCAGAGGTCCAAAAACCGGGAAACTGATTTCTGCTTCCATTTTCCAGATATCCATTTCAAGTGCTATTTAGTAAATTTTACTATTCCACACAAGCAATGGACCACACAAGTTGTACAACTCCCCGAGTCCAAGTCTAAAGACTCCACAAACCAGGCAGTTACCAAAGGCAGCTTCACCCCCATCTTATCTATTGTTACAACTGAAAAATTGTACTTTCTAATGAAGACAACCGACTTCCTACTCCAACAAAACCTTGTTTTTCAATTGCATGTATAGTATTTCCAGAGATGAATAGTGAATTGTCTTTCTTCTCAGGCAGTAACTTCTCTGAAGAAAGAGACCCCACTCTTCCTTAGTGATCTACTACTATGCTAACTGCATTCTCATGGACAGTTTTTATTATTTACTTATTTTTTTACTGAAACAGAGTCTCACTTTGTCGCCCTGGTAGATTGCTGTGGTGTCATAGCTCACAGCAACCTCAAACTCTTAGGCTCAAGTGATTCTCTTGCCTCAGCCTCCTTAGCAGCTGGGACTATAGGCACCCGCCACAACGCCCAGGTATTTTTTTGTTTAGCAGGCCTGGGCAGGGTTAGAACCCACCGGCCCCGGAGCATGTGGCCAGCACCCTAAGGATTGAGCTACCCAACTATCATGGTCAATTTTAGTTAAAGAAGGGAAGAGAGTGTAGGAGACTAAATGTTTTTCAAACTTTTCTCACGGTAACACACAGAAAATCCCTCCAAATGCAGTCACACATGTGTACACCTTAAATGTCCAAAAAGCAATACTTAGACTAAGTGCAACACACTCTGATATTTTCCACTATCTTTTTTTTCTTTTTCTTTTCTTTCTTTTTTTTTTTTTTGAGATAGAGCCTCAAGCTGTCTCCCTGGGTAGAGTGCCGTGGCATAGCTCACAGCAACCTCCAACTCCTGGGCTCAAGCGAGTCTCCTGCCTCTGCCTCCCAAGTAGCTGGGACCACAGGTGCCCGCCACAACGCGGGCTATTTCTTTTTCGGTTGCAGCCATCATTGTTGTTTGGTGGCCGGGTTAGATTCGAACCCGCCACCTTAGGTGTATGTGGCTGGCGCCTTAGCCACTTGAGCCACAGGCACCGAGCCTTTCTTTTCTTTTTTAAGTTTTTTTTGGCTGGGGCCGGGTTTGAACCCACCACCTCTGGTATATGGGCCCTACTCCTTTGAGCCACAGGTGCCGCCCATCCACCATATTTTCAAAATGATGGCCAGGATCTACTAAACTGATTTCCAACTCACCAATGGCACTCACAGTTTGAAAAACACTACATTCCACAAGCTACTAATGAACCCACCCCCCATAAGCCAGCAGACAGCCCAGACACTGACCAGCTACAAGCAGCAGACACTCCACCCCCAAGAAGGTAGTGTCCCTCAGACCAGCAGTGGCAGAGAGGCAACTTATGACCACCAGCAGCCCTGATTTAACTATCTCCCAAACTCCCAACATTTCCCAAGTAACCTAATGTGACTCTGTCATGTGTCCTATTAACCTTTTTATGAATCCAGTCCACTCAACGTCTTGGGGTGGCAAAGTTCATATACTGCCCACCATGAAAAGCAATACTTCTTTTCTGTCCCCTCCAAGAACTGGAAATTAAATGAACAAGCTAAAGCTGATGCTCCTTGTGCCTTTGTGATCTCTGTGGGTGATATAAAGTCAGCCTCTCCCTTCCTCAGTCTTCCTCTTTCCAGTTTTAATCACTGACAGATGCTGTCTCTGTTGAAAAGGGAAACCAGGGAACCCCCTGGACCAGGGGAGCCGTTCATCAGCACAACAGAAATGAAAGCAATAACTCAATCCTCACACCACAGAAGCGCCTAGATAACTCATCTCCAGACCCAAGTTGGGAAAGGAGACGGGGGAGAGGGGTAGATAAACTTGAGGGGACGCGCCAGAGTGACGATCCCCGTAGACCACCTCGCGAAGGCTGGGCCTCAGCTCGCCTCTACCCAGGCTCCACGTGCCTGGGAAGGCAGGTGAGTGCAGGCCGGGAGCGTGGGGAGCGCAGAAGCTGCGGGACCCCCGCCACCCAGAAGAGTGGGAAGGAGGAAGGTTCAGGTCAGAGCCCGCCCAGTCGGCAGCCCTCCCACTGACCCTCCGCCCCAAAAGAGCCCACTATCCTCCCACTTAGGCCTTTCCTCGCCCATCCACAGGGAGTGCGCCTCCCCTACAGCAGGAAAGAAAGAAAGAGGGTAAGAAAAGAACAAGGAGCCTAACATCTCCCCTCATCCACCCCACCATACCGCTCTCGCTGCCCGGGAATATCCCGCTGCGGGCCCACAGGCCAAGCACCGCCTTCCCCCCCTCCCGCGACGCTGCCTCGCCCTCCGCGCCTGCGCGCCTGCGCGCCAGACCCAGCCAGGCGGGCAGCGATCTGAGAATGCGCGCGCGCCTTGCGTGTACTGGCGTGGGGGGTGGGACCTGCAGGGCCCCGCCTCCTCTCCTCCCCTCCCTCCTCTTGCTCCCCCTCCCCCATACGCTGCCGCGGCCGCCGCAGGAGCCCGGAGCTCGAGCCGCCCAGCGACTCCCCTCCCCCTCCCCCAGCCCCGCCCCGCCCCAACCAGGGGGCTCCGTGGTGGAGCCGAGTCTGCGCCTGGGGTGAGTACGCGACCCTTCCCCAGCTCTCTCTTTTCTTTGAGGATCCCTCCACCACCCAAAGAAAAACCCAGACTCAGCTGCGCGTCCCCTCCCTTCAGCCTCCTGCGGGACCAGGAGGTGCCCGGGCCCGCGGGACCCAGCTGTGGCGCGCGCTGTCCCCAACCCCGCACCATCCCGACCCAAATGTGAGTCCTCCGACCCCTGCCCGGGGTCTAGATATGCGCGCCCTCTCTCCCCTGCCCGCAGGAGATCCCAAGGGGTAGGACCCCCGCCCCCGGCCTCCTAGTGCCACTCTTCTCCCACCTGCCCAGTCCAGGTGCGCGTCCCCTTCATGCCCCTCCGGGGTTCCAGCTGCGCCTCACCTGCCCGTTGCCGCTGCGGGGAACCAGCCGCCCCCGAGTTTTGGATTCCGGGGTCGCCAAGTCCGATGCCCTCGGTCTCGTTGATCTTTTCTCTTGCTCCCGGGGCGCGTACAGCCGAAGCCGGTCCGGGGCGGGGGTTCGGGCTTAGGTAAGGGCAGGATTTGCGAGCGCTGGTAGGAGGAGGCTAGCAGTAGCCCCCAGCCCGTCCAGGGACTGGTCGGCGGGCTGGGGAGGCGGCTGGCCCCGGGAGCGTGTCCTCTCCTTGCGCCCCACACAGTGCAGTTCATTCATGAGCTGCCCGGGCCTGCGTTGGAGGGTGCGGTGGGGAAGAGATTCAGATGGAACTGGGAGTGGGGCAAAGGCCTTGTTGGGGCGGGCGGGGGGGGGGCGCGCTTTGTCCCTCCTGACTGTCTTGACTGCCTACGGCGGACAGTCCCAAAGCTTGGCGCCTTGTTCCCCAGAAAAGGAAAGGACGTTTGGGAAGTGGGGAGGAGAGGTCAGAGGGGCCGTCTGCCCTTGGGGCTCTGTGCTGCCACCTGCCTGGGTCCCCTGGGCAGAGATCTGGCCTCTCAGGGCTAGCCTGAGCGCTCCACTGCGCTGGGGGGCTGGAGCCTCCCTTCCCAATACTGCTCTCTTGCCTCTCCCTGGATCTGCAGCATCCCAGGAAATGATGCTGTGCCTGACACTTAGTGAGGGTAGGCCCCCTGTCCTAGGCACAGGGGATGTAGAGGGGAATGGGAGTGTCTGCCAGGCTTTGGGTGGGGGGTGTGCTGGCAGCATGATTGTCTCTTCAGGGCCCCAGAGGGCCCAGGTCCTGGCATGCCTGGGGTGCACATGCTGGGGCCTGCTGTTGGCTCAAACAGCTCAAACAGCTGTTGGCCAAATTCTGTGTCTTGGCCTGTGGGTAGATGGGTGGGATGTGAGAAGGCAGAAGGGAAGTGGTGGGTAGCTAAGGACCCTCTTTTGGACATCATACAAGTTTCCTCCAATATAACAGAGTCATAGACAACTGAGTTCAAATTCTAGCTCCAGGCCGGGTGCCATGGCTCACGCCTATAATCCTAGCATTTTGAGAGGCCAAGGTGGGAGGATCACTTGAAACCAAAGTTCAAGCCCAGCCTAGACAATAGCAAGACCTCCCCCTAATCTCCTCACCCCCTATATCTATGGGGAAAAAACAAAAAATAAACTAAAAACAACTCCCCTCCAAAATCTTAGCTCTTCCATTCTTTAACTATGTGACCTTGACAAGTTATTTAACTTGTCTAAACCTCAGTTTCCATTAAGAAGTGTGGTTAGTGCCATCTCCTTACAGGGTTTATCATGGGGATCAAACAAGAAAATGGGTAAAGAGCTTAGCCCTCTGCCTGGTAGTTCATCAATGATGAGTTTTAACCTCTGAACTTCTGACCCATCCTAACACACTGTCACCCTCATATGCCCCCACCTCCTAGCTGGCTACAGATGGATGGAAGTAAATTCAAAGAGTTTGGGGACATTCCCTGCCACTCAGTGGCAGAATCCCTAATCCAATATAAGCTCTTAGATCTAAACAAGAAGCCTATCCTGACTGAGTAGCTGTCTCATATTTCTATTGTACTGAATTCTATGTGTTTATTGTATTTTTATTTTTAACAGTTTTCCTTCTGTAAACTAACACCTTTTATTCCATATCTTATTAACAACAATAGATAATTTTTAAAGCCCATAATATGCCTCCATACTAAGTCATATGTCATCTTGTTTAATCCTCAAAACAACTACTCAACTGGATTTTCATTCCATTTTACAGATAAAGGAACTGAGGCCAGAGTGATTAAATAATTTGCCCAGGTTAAAAGCCAGGTCTTTCTCATTCTAGAGCCTGTGCTTTTAACTACAAGCTTTTGCTGCCTGTCCCCTACACCTGCCTCAGAATGTAAAATCATAAACCCAAGGCCTAAGTGGAGAGTCTAAGAGCTACAAGCCAGAAAAAAGGGAGCAGGGCGGCACCTGTCGCTCAGTGAGTAGGGCACCAGCCCCACATACTGAGGGTGGCGGTTCAAACCTGGCCCCAGCCAAACTGCGACAAAAAATAGCTGGGCATTGTGGTGGGCACCTGTAGTCCCAGCTACTCGGGAGACTGAGGCAAGAGAATTGCCTAAGCCCAAGAACTGGAGGTTGCTGTGAGCTGTGATGCCACAGCACTCTACCAAGGGTGACAAAGTGAGG